AATAAGAGATGGTTATGAGGAAAACATTATTCCTTCTAGGGGATTTTTTTTAAAATAGATCACTTTTGTTAAGTATTTAGTAAAATAGACAACTTTGCTAAATATTTAGCAAAATAGTCCTCTTTTTAGCAGGTCGATTTTGAAAAACAAGGCTCAGAAAACATACGGGACTACTAGTCCCATATGTTTAGAGCCAACTTAATCACCGCCATTTTGAAAAACAAGACTCAGAAAACATACGGGACTAGTAGTCTCGTATGTTTTCTGAACCTTGTTTTTCAAAATCCACATCTTTTTGGCTTATTGGCCAAAAAAGATCTATTTTGCTAAATATTTAGCAAAATGGTCTATTTTGCTAAATATTTAGCAAAAGTGGTCAATTTTAAAAAAAATCCCTTCCTACTACCATATGACATGATATACTAGAAAAGATATATATGAATCCGTACGGGAACTTACCTACCTATTTTGGGTGGGATTTGAAGTTGATGGTGGAATCCTCCTCTTGCTCACTCCTACTTGCTTCATCTGTTCCCTTGTCTCAGCTCTCATTTGGTTTTGATCAACTGCAGCTTTCACAGACATCAGCTTCCTTGATCCTCTTGTGCTCACTACACTCTTCTTTGCGTTGTAATATTTAAGGGGGTATGGAGAGCAGAGAAGAAAAAAGACTATGAGCAGGACTAGAAATCTTAGCCAATGCTTCATTCTTGATTCCTAGTCTCAAACGAAGAAATTTGAGTAAAGCCTTGAAGGTAGGAGAAGTTGAGTTGCTAGCTCAAGATGTGAAGAGATACGTACAAGAGTTTGCTGATGAGTGATCGATGATACTTAGTGATAACGATGGGAATTTAACAAGTAGTTTTCTGGAGCAGGAGCACGAGATCACGTGACGCATCTTTTTGACCGTAATCTGAAAATAACTTTTTTTGTATCATGCTGAGTCTTACACAATCGATTTATTAATGTAAAGAGGCTAATCATGCTACCAAATCACGTGATATTGGAACAGACAATATAACGTTTATGGTCTGCAGTTCTAGCCGCATGTATTTGGCTCACTTGTTGAACCTTATGATTGCATGTGTGCACGTGCATTAGAGTGTACGGATTCTGGTGTGCTGCTAATGTGATTCGCATTCAGACCATTGCAGTCCAGATCATCAACATATTTAGATCATAGTTGATGGTTTAAATGTGCGTCCCAACAAACCCTAGCCGATTTTATGGTGCGGCTATATATGTGAACGTTGAGTACAATACCAAATACGATTAGTTTTGTTTTTGTTCAGCTGTCTCTACCATATCTCTCTGAATTTAGTCTAGATACAATTAGAAGAAAACCAACTTAACGAGTTTAGGAGGGAAAGTTTTTAGTCAAATATGTTCCTATTTGTAGACAGAAATTCAACTTAAAATACAAGAGATTTATTGTTGCAGCCTTATTCTCCATCAGTCTGAAATTTATAGACCATAAGCTTGCATTAAACACTTTTTAAGAAATATGAAATTTTAAAATTAAAATAAAAGTTTGTAGAAAGGGACATGCATATTCTAAAATCCAAGCTCCAAAACAACTACTTCTTCCTGTATGTCACGTTATAGAGAACATGGATACTGCTGATTACCTTAATTATGCGCTGCGCAGGTGAAAATTGATTAATTTCAAGGATTTTGGATCCTTTGTGATAAGTTGAAGGGTGGCGAATATAGAGACTATAACAGGCTCAGAGTAGCCACGCTGTGTTACTGTAAAACTACCAATTATTTATTTTTCAAAAAATAATTTTTATGGTACAGTACAGACATTGGGATTGGGGTAGTGACTAAACTTTTAGACTGTGGAGAAAAGTATCCCTTTTCATTCCTACCGAAAGCAAGAATTAGCTAGCTAGGGGGTCAAAAAGGAATTTTCATGAATGACAAGTGTTCTTCTTGAGATCATCTCCTCTTTTTAGTCCTTTCCTAGCTCCTTCTCGAGCCCTCTACATGATGAAGTCACACATAGACAAATAATGTGAAAGTTTACCTGAATCTTTGAATCGATTCTAAAGTTGATGATTGTACTAATATTGTTTAAGTGTTTATAGTGATTCGGTATTATCTGTACTTTAGCATCAATTCTAAAGTTGGTGATTGTATTGATATTTTAAGTGTTTATAATGATTCGGTATATGGTTACATTGATCTTTAATTAAATTTTTTATACTGAGTTTTAATATTTGTACTGAGTAGTGAGACACAATGATACAGAGGTTAGGGCTAGATTGAGATCAGACATACTCGCCTCCTGTTGAATATAACATGTGTACCTGTTTGAATTTGCCAAGTGATCAATAGCATACAAGCAAGAGGAAATTGTCCAGAAATGTCATGGACATGTCCTAAAGAAATTAGTAAAATATATATACTAAGTTGATTGTTTCACAGAATCGGTTTCCTAAAGTAGAGAGATTTAAGGCTTATTATGTTATGACTAGTAAATTAATTATGAGATTCCATAAAAAAAAAAAGAGGTTGCTAAGGCATTGCTTTCTGGATTACTAAACTGTGAGTTAAGAGCATCTCCAAGAGCCTCACCATAATTTCTCTAAAATGAGGAAGCAAAATGCCAAATTCTCCTAAAAATTTTTTTGCTCCAAATCCAACAACTTTCCTGTTTTAGGGATTTAGACATTTATTACAACTATAAAACATCATATATACTCAATAATTATTAAGAAAATAAATGTTTGATATTTTATTATAACAATATAAAACTCAATAAAGTATTGGATATATATTTTTTCTTCTTTGAAGAATGTGAGATATTTATGATAATGTTACTTTCAAGAATTTGGAGAAGGAAGTATTTTTGCAGAATGCTGCAGATTTGAGGAAAGACCCTCTTTTTTTCTTCTCCATCCCCATTTTAGAGAATGTGATGGAGAAATTGTTGGAGCTAAAAATAGCTCGGTTTATTGTAATGATACTGGTTCTGATAGTTAGAGCGATAAACATTAATTGGCTCTGATAGATTATAATAACAATGCATCAAAGCAATGTGTATTTCTTGGATTAGTCAATTTACGTTTAGAGTTCGAAAGCTCAAACGGGGTGGTGGCGCAGTTGGCTAGCGCGTAGGTCTCATAGCTAAATTGAGTGATCCTGAGGTCGAGCAAACGGGGTGGTGGCGCAGTTGGCTAGCGCGTAGGTCTCATAGCTAAATTGAGTGATCCTGAGGTCGAGAGTTCGAGCCTCTCTCACCCCAGGCTAGCGCGTAGGTCTCATAGCTAAATTGAGTGATCCTGAGGTCGAGAGTTCGAGCCTCTCTCACCCCAGTTATTTTTATTTTTTTCCATTCTGGGTTGGTTTCTGGCTCCTTTGCCTATTCTTTGTAAATTGCCTTCACAAATAGAATACTAACAATTTTGCATGTCTCCCCAAAATTATTAATACCAAACGGACGAGCGTCAATATTAATTCCAGTAATACCCTATTACATATTATTTTTGTGCTACTACAGAACACAATAATATGAGATATCTGGAGGGTTAATTGCACTTAATTGTCCCATAGTTTCCCAACATTGTATTTAAGTGACCACTTATTTGCAAACCAAACAAAAAAATACACGAAAGTATTTAAGCGGTTCATATAAATTTCTTAAAGTTTCAAAATGTTGCACGTTGGTGTATTATTGTTTACTCAATGTTGCATATAAATACCCCAAAGTTTATAAATAACCTCACTTAAATACCCCAAAGTCTAGGTTTTTGTTTAACTATGGGGCATTCATACGCAACACTTAAAAATTTTGGGACATTTTTCGTTCGGTTTGAAATGATAGGGCATTTAAATGCAAGGTCGGGACACTATAGGTCATTTAACTGCAATTAAGCCATATCTCGAGACTTATAATTCTAATAGGTAATATCAATCAATCAATCAATCATCAATGTAGGAAAAGAAAATCCCCACATCTTAATTTGTTCAAAACTTTGACAATCCGTTTCATTCTCGCCGACGAAACGCAAACCGGTGTCTGTTTGTCAGGTTAAAAAGGGGACTTTACATGATATTTTCTTATATAAATTTGGTAAACGCACTGTGTTTCCATGCAAAATTATGGTAGTAAATATATAAAAAAAATTTGTAAACAATGCTTATAGGGGCCAGTAAAACTCCATTTAAATTCAATAACTCTAGAACTTAAAAGATGTAATTACTAACTAATGGTTTAACCCTTCAACTTCTAAGCACACTTTAAAACCTTCACTCACCAAAGCAATCCTTTGAAGAACCACTACAAATTCACACACAAAAATGGCAGAGGAAGAGGATGTCAAAGAAAAAATTGTGAAGAATAGACAAAGCTAAGAAGATGATGATGAAGATATCAAACCCATCAATTTCAACCGCAAATTTTCAAGCAAAAATGATGGTGATGATCATGATGACGATGATGATGCTATCCTTGTTTCTGCTGAAGGACCCGTGAGTTCAATGGAACATAGGTTAATTAGTTACTGATTTTGTTTAAATTTTCTATTGTATAATGCTAATAACAATGAGCTTCTGTTATTGTTATTCTTGTCTCTGATTTTGTTCAATGCAAGCTTTCCCGAGCTATGGTAGCAAGGTTTGTTTCTTAAATCTCATGCATTGCAATTTATTATACTTTCGATCGGTGGAAATGCGAAGCCACAGCTCTTTTGACATTAGCATTTTGATTTCTACTCAAAACATTTCATAAAATTAAAAGTGAATAGATTTGATTACAGAGATCACGCACACTCGCCATAAATTCTTTTTGATATCTGAAACCCTGTATTTATTTTCTTGTTCTGCGCAGTGCTACTGTTATGTATGTGATATAGCCGCTCCTTGCTTACAGTAGGAGGGAACACCCGGACACTGCAATATCTCCAACAAGCTTTAAAGAATTTTAACAATTGTCCAAGGAAGAAAACAAAATGTGGACACTGCAATATATTCGACAAAT